TCAAGTTAGCCTCTTTATGAGGAGGCAAAAAAGTACTTTGAATATTTTCATAGAAATTAGCTTTTAAACATTAACGATACCGTACACATGGCCTTGATTATGAATTGAGCTAACTTTCATTTCAAAGCACTCAAAAGAGTGCTCAGTAATTATTATTTCTTGATCTTTTCATTCCCTTGCTAGATCTCAAGGTAGTCTACTGCTAGTTCATCAACCTGCAGTATGATTGATCTGCGCGTATTTGACCGGGGTTTTTTTTCTATGTCGAAGAAGGGCTGATTGTCTTCAGACAGCCACATTTCAATTTTGAATGTCCTCTGTATGTTTTGCACAGAATGATCGTTACCACTTTATAGAACTTTAAAGAGATCTGAATACGCCAACCAATAATTTACAATAAAAATATACTCTTTGCTGCTACTTGCTAATAACGATATAGCATTATGTATTCTACTTTTGCACAGCTTATTTCTCGGCAAATATCTACGTTTTCTAGGCAATGAAGAAAGTTATGTCGCGTGATGTAGTGTAGGCTAACGCGGGACAGAGGATACACAATGTGATACTTCAGATTTATGGGCTGCACTACACTCTCTTAAAATAGTATCATGTGATGCCTTTACTTGTTACATTCTTATATAGATTGACCTCTTCAAGGGTGTGTTATGGCTAACAGTTGCGGTTTTAAGTAGTCAGAAGGACGACAGCCTCCGCCTTTCGTGGTTGCACTTGACTGTCTTCACAGGATATCATTGTAAATAGCTTGGATTGCTAGAGGGAGAGAGTTCAGTTAACTAATTGTACACATTATTGTGGGCAACAGCAGGCTTACATTAATAATAATTTACTTTGAAAATACTAGAACATGTAATCATATTGTAGATGAATTATTTCTTCTTTCATTGTGAAATTATGCAGAAATAAGTGTTAGCCTTTTGTAAAACAATGAAATGCCATTGTAATAATGTTGCCCCTTCTTTTCTTCTTTCATATTGCAGTTTCCACACCAGCCCCAACAAAAGCCAGTAAGTACATGGCTGGCCATTTCTAACTGTTGATTTGCCTTTTCTTTTCTATGATAGCTTTGATAGCAGCGTGCTCATTCCGATTTTGCGTTTGCTAAGATCGCATACTCAAATCGCCATAATTATAGTTCTAACACAGAACAAATTCACTGCTTGAATTACATACTCCAACAAGCTTAGACAGGCACCATCATTACACGCAGCATGACCAATATTGTCCTCTTTCCTGTAAATTACCCTAAGGTACAACATCAATAAGGGAATGACCAAACTAATTACTTTATTTCTCACGAAATAATAATGATGAATCTTTTTGCCATATTACACTGTTTACCACATTCTAACAACACTCACTATAACGTGAGTGGGACTGAGAAAGGGGTATTATGTCGACAAGTCAAAATTAGACACTGGAAAAAATGGAGTTAAATAAAAGATTAGTTCTCTTGAATATATTTCTGCCCGAAACAGTTAGTTCCCCTTGCTTCTTAATTAGGCGGCGACCACAAAACTGCTTTACAACCCTTTGATTTATAAACATGTCTAGTGATTTTGCTGACACACTCGATACTACACAACCATGCAGAAAATAGCAAAAGACAAAGCTACACCAATCATCTTCTGGGAATAATGGTACTTGTAACCATCCAAAAAGGTAAAGTCTCCAATAGTGTACCAACGTTGATGAATTAAATATCCTATTTATGAGTAAAAGGTGTTTAAAAATTTCGTGAAATATCACTACATTACCAAAGTGAGACAGTCAATAACTTTTTAAAATAAATGTCTCATTTTAATAACACTTTATCAGCACAGATTCTTCTATCAGAAAATAAAAAAATAACGTCTGTTAGGGCCTTGAATATTCCTCTGTTGACCACCTCTTCACGGAACACTCATACGACCTGCATTGTAACTATCACACACAGCTGATAACTGCACCTTAACATAGGAAAGAAGTATGTAATTTATATGTGTGTGTGTGTGTGTGTGTGTGTGTGTGTGCGTGCGTGTGTGAGTGTGTGTTTGTGTGTGTGTGTGTGTGTGTGTGTGTGTGTGTGTGTGTGTTTGTGTGTGTGTTTGTGTATGTACATTCAGTAATTTCTGTTTTACAATTTCGTTATCGTGAGACAAACAACCAGGTTCTTTTAGGGACTAGTCCCTTTTACAGATTTCCAGCCTCATAACCCCGGACATACCTGCTCACTTACTTTGTTTACCCCCCGGGGCAGTGCCACTGACTGTAGTGTCTTTAGGCCATTCCCAAAGGGGGGGGGGGAGGGGCATTTCTCGTTCAAGCATAGTAGAATTGTAAATGGGCTGACTCATGTCAGGCTAATAACTAACTGTGCCTGATCTACAACAGGGAACTGCTGCTTTTTCTTTCCTGAACCTTACTATTGTCCTTTTCCTCTACTTCTTTTGTATGTTTGTCACTCTCTTGTGACTTGCTATTTCAGGGGTGCCTTGATAGTCAAAGCAGACCTTGTGCTGTTGAAGCTAGAGAGGTGAGCAGTCGAAGTCTGATTCCCTGTAAAGACTTCTCTGTTGACACCAACCCCTTGGCGCTCATATGACCTTATGCAGTTGCCAGCGCCGTAAAAAACCCTCTGCTATGAAGAAAAAATTACTTTGTTTATTCTATGATGGAATACTAAATTGATGTGATACTGCCACATAAGAAAACAAAAAGCGTGTTTGTTTTTCTTAATAGAAATGAATAGTATATAGGTTTCCCTAAGTTATAGTAGACGTTATTTCGAGTGGAAGTGAGGACAAGAAGCTTCAAATGATGTTTTTGCGTCAAAAACTCCTTTCTGTATAATTTTCTAGCGTACTGAAAGGCCTGACGTTGGCTATTTGGTAAGGGCATACAAAAAAGAATGTCCTCTATTATCGTTCTATCTTTGCAGGTTGTGCCGGAGCCAAGATTGACTTGGTGTTTGTCCTGGACGCTTCCACCAGTGTGACTGAGCCCAACTTTGAACTGATGAAAGATTTTGTAAAGGATTTCCTGTATGAAGCTGACATTGATGGCGGTAATGCTAGAGTGGGTGTGATCATCTACAGTACAGCAGATCATGTTGAGTTTCAAATGAACACCTACAATACTAAAGCTGATGTTTACAATGCCATTGATGATATCCCATACCGATATGGCAGCACCAACACTGCAGATGCCCTTCAAACCATGAGATCTGTAATGTTTACAAGAGCCAATGGAGACCGTCCCAATGTAGACAACATTGCCATTGTGGTAACGGACGGTGTGTCAAACATCAATGCTAGAAGAACCATTCCTGAAGCAGAACAAGCTCGTGCAGACAACATCCACATCTATGCCATTGGTATTGGCCTGACAGACACAAGGGAGTTGGATGGAATTGCTAGCAAGCCACTTGATGAGAACAGATTCGCTGTACAGGAGTTTTCAGAGTTGAGAGATTTGAGACATAATGTGTTTGCTGCTCTCTGTGGAGGTAACATAATATTATTTTCAATGTTGGTGAACTATTGCATAATCTTTAGAAATCTCGATTGTTTCGTATAAAAACGTTAAACTTAGGTACGGCATGAGAATTGAAGTAGATTTCAACTTTTTAACATTTTGTGTGGTTAATAGAAACACGAGTTCTTTGTTGTGCAAAGTATGGATGACGTTGATCATTCGTTAAAGAGATATTTGATGATAAGTTGCGCCACGAAATTTTCACTGCACTATAGTCCTGAATCTGAGGCATAAGCAGACACTAAATTTGTTTCCAAAGTCGTTCTTTTTTAGTGGTCACCCCTTTGAAAGCTATGCTTTTGTAAAATCATATACAACTTCCGTGATCGCAATGTGTGCCTAGCTTTCCTCTTTTGTTTTATTTCTTTGTCTTATAATTTCTTGTTCTTTATCTCATTATACAGTTTCTACACCTGCACCCACTAAAACAAGTAAGTAAAAGTTATGAAACTATTGTGCTACTTTCAGCCTATTCTTTTCTCTTAGACTTTTTTCTCTTCATTTTATTTTCATTTGCCTTTGCATCAATGCTGTGCTTTTATTGACGTCTTTGCTCTTCACATGTGCAGACCTTTTAAAAAAAACCTTTATCATGCTCTAAACTTTTCTTCGATTATATTCAGATTTATTTGTTTTCATTAAACTCACACCCTTCACTCATTTTGATCACTTGACATGTTCATGGTTAACTGCACCCTTAACGTTTGTAGAATGTCACTTTTTATTTTCCGTTCACAACTTCTGTTGTTTTGATTCTGATGAATACCAATCGCAAAGTAGCAATAAACGAAACAGAAAATGTCAATATTCGAGTACATTTTATCACCTGTATTGCACTGCACTTAACTGTTCGGGATTTATACCTCAAGTGCACAGAAAAAAAAATTATCTTCTGAACTTCTGTTGTGTTGTTTTCTCTGTTCTGGGAAAGCAGGTGTTTTATTGTTGGAGACAGACTAATGAACATTGTCACATAAAGGACGACTGACAGCTTTTGTCGTTATTCAGACTCCCATGCCTATAGTTTACCTAGGTACTGTGCATTTACAACACGGTATAAATGCAATTATTGTGTTATGCATTTATTATGAACAATATTTTTGTAAACCCAAAACAAGACAAAGGGCCGGCCAGGTTATAAATGCAGACATGAACTGACTTTTGCATGTACATTATTCCAATTCTCTTGAACACTTGACGATTTTTGTTGAAAGACCACCATGTAGATAGGCAGCACTTTTCTTTCTGTTTAGCACAAAACGTATTGCATGTTAATAGGTTACAATAACCATGACAATAACATGTTTGGGGTTTCAAGATATTCAGGATAGATTATCTTTTTCTTTTTGCCCTTCTAATTTTTTGCTTGCTTTCCTGATTTAACAACTGTAGTTACAGCACGAACTGAGATGCCATTCACCCAAAAGGCCAGGTGAAGTATAACATAAATATAAAGCATAAATGTTCTTCGTCCAATTCCTACAGGTTGTGCTGGGGCAAAGATTGACTTGGTTTTTGTCTTGGATGCTTCCACCAGTGTGACTGAGCCGAATTTTAATTTGATGAAGGACTTTGTAAAAGATTTCCTGTTTGAAGCTGATATTGATGGTGGTAGTGTGAGAGTGGGTGTGATCATCTACAGTACAGCAGATCATATTGAGTTCCAAATGAACACCTACATGACGAAGGCCGATGTTTACAATGCAGTAGATAATATCCCATACCGATATGGCAGCACCAACACTGCAGATGCCCTCAAAACCATGAGATCTGTAATGTTTACAAGAGCCAATGGAGACCGTCCCAATGTAGACAACATTGCCATTGTGGTAACAGACGGTGTATCAAACATCAATGCTAGAAGAACTATTTCTGAAGCAGAACAAGCTCGTGCAGACAACATCCACATCTATGCCATTGGTATTGGCCTGACAGACACACGGGAGTTGGATGGAATTGCTAGCAGACCAGTCGATGAGAACAGATTCGCTGTACAAGATTTCTCAGAGCTCAGAGATCTGAGACACAATGTTTTTGCTGCCCTCTGTGGAGGTGAAATATATACATACAACCCATATGCATGCACAGACTGCTCTACCTCAGATTTTATTATAATATATTTTGTACCTTTGCTTGAGTTCCTAAGCATGCATTGTATTTGGAGTGTACACGTCGTGCTGTTGAATGCTTATTGATGGAAAAGAATAATATCGTGGCGCTTTCGTTTCAAAGATGAAAGATTATTTTCTTTGGTATCAAAACTGAGTATATACCCCGCAACTGAACCCACAAAACGTTTTTTTTTATGATTGAAATTGGCTCCCTACTTTATTGTAGAGTCCGTTCTCAATTAATTTTGTAAGGAATTCTAACCAGTATTATATGAACAGTAGCTTGGTATTTTTGTCTTGATGTATTTCTTTCGTGTTCACTCTCAGTGCCTCCTCAAGTGACATATTGTGGAGGCCATGTTAAAAAAGAATACTAGACACTTGGAAATCATCAACTTTGAGGCTTATTGTTCCACTCTGAGACTGATCTGTGATTATCAGAAAATATGATGTACTATTACATGTATTGTGCTTCTGATACCAACAGTGCATGTTCTTCACTGCTTCATATACTTTGTATTATGTGCTTGTACATTGCACTCACTTGTCTACAGTTCAATTGTTGTACATTTAAAACAAAAAACAAAATACAAAAAAACGGTGTAGGGCTTAACTGGATATTATTAAGATGTATTAATGAATAAGATTCAAGTTGATGCATGAGTCATAACGATGTGTACATTGTTTCCTGGTTCTTTGGCTCTTGATGTTATTTTGGTGATGTTTGTAAGAGGATGCAAACTGTCTGGTCTTAATGTACATGCATATTATTATCCTTCCATGAACCTTCTCCGGTGTCGCTATATTGTCAGTATTTGTTTTTCGTATTGCTATGAACTAAACACTGTGTCCCTACCCTTAAAGCTCATTCTAGCAATAAGGAACCAAATGCCTATTTATCTCTTTAATTTTGGAATTGATAGCATTAATGTTATTTTCTGTTGTACCTCTTAAAAGTATACCTAACCCCTATCATTAATCGGGGTATCTTTAAAATCAACAAAATATATTTCCTTGTTCACTTGACATCATTCTCCTTTGTTCACATGATCATGATCTTTTAAAATTTAAGGGGGGGGGGGGGCTACACCTGAAGGCTATCTCGCTTATTACTGAACCGAATTTTACCAAATATCCCCCATATAACAAGCATAGAAAGGAGTCTTAAAATTCGCAATCAAATTTGAGAAAGAAAGTTTGGTTTCCATGGATACGGCGGCCATATTGGATTTTGTTGACATGTCTTACGTAACGAATATCTCACTTATTGCTCATGGAAAATGGTTGTTGTTGTTTTGTTTTTTTGTGTTTGTTTTTTTTTTTTTTTGCATGCGTGTTAACAAATATTAGATCTAAGAATTTGCATGTTGTTTTTTTCCTAAACGAATTAGAAATTTTTTCATGAATTTTTTCCTGGGGTACCATTCAAATTTGCAAAAAATCCAGAAAATCCACACTCCAAACACCGCCAACAAAAATCTACTCCATATATCAAACATTCAATAGAAAATGTTTTAATATTACATCTTCTCTTCATTCTGTGAAAATTTCATGAAGATTGGATGAAAAATGGTGGAGTCATTCTAAAAAGTATAGAGAAAAGTCGCGTTTTGAGAAAACGGCCGATAAAGAAAAATAAAATATTGACTTTATGAGGAAATAGTGGTGACAAACATGCTCAGTATGGGGAAAAATGCGGAATTTGGGGGTTCTTATGCAATGAAATAGTTGTAGAAGAGGCTGTGGAAGCTAAAAATGCCTACAACTCAAATTCCATAATTTTGAGCCGAATCGGGACTTTAGGG